AAATTTCAGTATTCAATGCTTCCTATAACTTGAAAATGAATGATGTCACATTCGAAACGTCGTTAATAAATTAATTTACTTCCTTGAACCTGAATTTTTATCAACCAACGTCAGCTGAAGAATATTGTTCGATCCTGAAAATTTAAATCGATGATTTCTCTGGTCATTAACCACTCGTGTTTAAACAAGCTTATTCTGCTATCTTATACTAACTTTTGTATACATGTATACTTTTGTATATGTTTATATACTATAATATATAATGGCTAGATACATTTTATGAAAGATGTATCTCCTGCAATTTGTGCATGATTGTAATGTTGCATAGCCTGCAATATCGCTCAAAATTCAATTATTTTAATGATGTCAAACGAAACTAACGTCCGAATTTCAACAAAAAACAGTAAATGATTGGTCAACAGTGAACAGTTAAGGATTGTCAGCAGGACCTTAAAGCGGTTGTTCAACAGGAAACCGTTGAGGCTTGATCAACAGTAAACAGCTTTTTGATTTGATAATTTTCCAACAACGCAAAGCAAACATTTATTTAGCCGCTTTCATGAAGCGTCTTCGCTACCTTGATGAAAATCTAGGCACATTATCGTCGGCCACTGGACGGCTGGTGCTTAACAGCCGATAAATCGAACAAATTCATCACTCAATAAATAATTTTATATTCGTAAACTTCGATGCCATTTTATCGCGTAATTTGTTGACAGTTTTCAGAAATTCAGAGCAGGCAGCTCGAAGAGGGCGATTACTTTACGCCAAATTATGGCCGAGGCANGTATAGCACACTGAACATGTAACGCCTCAGTATAGCACACTGAACATGTAACGCCTCAGTATAGCACACTGAACATGTAGTGCCTCAGTATAGCACACTGAGCATGTAATGCCTCAGTATAGCACACTGAGCATGTAATTTGGATTCAAACCTTCAGTGTATCGACCGGACGGCTCCTGAGGGAGGCAGAGGGCCGCTGAGGGAGGCAGAGGGTTGCTGAGGGAGGCTGAGGGCCGCTGAGGGAGGCAGAGGGCAGCTGAGGGAGGCTGAGGGTCGCTGAGGGAGGCTGAGGGTTGCTGAGAGCCATAAGTAATATATCACAAAGAATTCCATATCCAATTAAAAATATTACATGACTCAACAATTTGAGTTTTGTAACCTGAAGTTGTCAATTACCAAACTATAACATTGCTCTACATAAAATCGATATTCACTTCTATTCGTCCTTCAACTTGAAAGAATTTAGACGTGATTTCACTGCGTATTCTAAGTGCTATTTTCCTAACTTAAAATAACGCTAAAATTAACACTTTATTCATTTGCTTCAGGCATCTGCAGCTCAGGTTTCTTTGAAAAAATAAAATTAAATTGAAAGGCTTTTCTAATAGCTATGAAATTATTCATTTTCTATAAATTCAATTTTTCTTATTTCTAGCCCATCGAAGGGGAATTTCAAGTTTCCTCCTCTGCGTCCGCTTTTGTTTGTTCAGTGTTCGCTTCGGTGTCGGAGGGATTTTTATCCAGATATTTTTATTGGTGTTTTTTTTTCTTGGACGTCCATAAGTTTCTGGCTGCGTCCGTCCTCCCGCGCGCGGCAACCTGTGATTAGCGCAGCCGTCGCTTATCTGATGCGCTGCGTCTAAAAAACATCTCTCAAATATTCTCGTAGAAAATCCTTTACAAGAAAACATCTTCAAATATATTCTCGTAGAACAACCATAAAGAGGAAACATCTTCAAAAATATTCTCGTAGAACAACCATGAAAAGAAAGCATTTAAAAATATTCTCGTAGAACAACCATGAAATGGAAACATTTAAAAATATTCTCGTAGAACAAAAATAATAGGAAAACCTGTCCAAAAATGTTCTCGTAGAACAACCATAAGAAGGAAACATTTAAAAATATTCTCGTAGAACAGCCAAAATAAGAAAAAAATCCTCGAAAATATTCTTGTAGAACAATTTTAATAAGGAAGCATCTGCAATAATATTCTCTTAGAACAGCCATAAAGAGGAAACATCTTAAAAAATATTCCAGTAAAACAATCATAAAAATAATAAAAATTTGAAAATATCCTCGTAGAACAAGCATAAAAAGGGGACATCTCCAAAAATATTCTAGTAAAACAATGATATGAATGAAAAAAATTCGAAATATCCTCGTAGAACAACCATAAGAAGGAAACATCTCCAAAAATATTCTAGTAGAACAGTCATAAAAATAAAATTTTTTCGAAAATATCCTCGGAGATCAACAATAAAAAGGAAAATTCTACGAAAATATTCTAGTAAAACAATCATAAAAAGAAAAATTATTTGAAAATATCCTCGTAGATCAAGCATAAAAAGGAAAATTCTCCGAAAATATTCTCGTAAAACAACCATAAAGTGAAAACATCTTCAAAAAATTTTTGGCAAAAAAACATAAATTGAAAAATCTCCAGAAATGTTCTCGAAGAAAAGCAATGTTAAAAGGAATCTTAAAAATTATTTCACTAGATCATCCTTGAAAACACTTTTTTAAGTATTTCATGAGAACGAACATATTGCCAAAAAATTTAATAAATCTAAATAACAGACGTGTTTAAAGTTTCTCTAATAAATTCCCGCATTCGAAATGTTCCCTTCGAACTGCCACGTAAGGAAACTGCTGTTCTATATTCTCTCAAAATATTTCGTTATAAAGATCAAATAAGATGCACCTTACGAAAAATACTTTAAAATAACCATGTAAAAACTCCTTCGAAAATATTCCCAAGGAACAACGACGTTAAAAAAATTGGGAAATATTATTTAAAACAACAATGTAAAATCACAAAGAGAAATTTTCCGATTAAGAAAACAGCTTCATAAAAAACATCATCAAAAAATGTTAAAAGGACGCGTGTGTCGGCATGGGCAGTAAAGGGTTAACGCTTCCTCCTTTGCTATATGCGCAGATTGAAATATATTTTAATGCACGCAAACGACTTACATTGCAGCATACCTTGCTTCGGAGAAAAAACCTCCCCGATTTAGTGGCAGTGGGCTCGAGATCAAGCACATGCGCAATGCTCACCTATACAGTTGCTGCCATAATAGTAGCTGCTATAATTTCTGCTAATATTATTGATGACAAAATACTTTCCGGTCATATTATTGCCGCAAATTTTGTTGCTGTCTATAAATAAAGTTGTTGTTGTTATTATTGCAGTATCAAGAGAGAAAACTCATTTAACCTTAAAACATTAAGGAAATGTTGTGACTCGAACTAGACATTAACTAAACTCATTAAGATGGAAAAAATAAACTCATTAGGGAACATTTTATTTTACGTATTATAGTAAACATGAAAATCTTAGAAGATTAAACGTCTTCTCATTACTTACAATGCATGAATTAAGTATTTTTATTTTGATACTTTCTAAGAAGCAAAGTAATTGATGACAACATTTTTTTCTTTTGTCAAACTTCCAAACAATCAACCATAACGTTGTTGTTTATCCCGAACATTAATTAATCCCGCAATCCACTCCATTGACAACCAACGATGTGAAGAAAGAAGAAAAAGCAACCTAATTCATAAATACTATTTTAGGATTTCTTTTATATCTTTCTTGCAGGAAAATTTTGGCTTCTTCACATTCCGTGTCAAAGAATTTGCGGCTTATATTTTGCTTTTTCGTTACTAGTCAAAATTAGGGTCCAGTGTCCTAGAACTTGTTGAAGTTTGGAACTTAGATAATCTTTAAAATTGATTGATATGCATTGGTCAATGTCTTGCAATTATTTGTGTAGTTTGTATTTGTGTAAAGTGTGCATTCCAACAACATTGTTTTTCCGTGCAACTCTGGGTTTGTGTGAAGTGAAATTTGAAAATTTGAAATTAGAAGCTGTTTAGAATGAATCAATTGTACCTACAATTAAATTTTTTTATTTCTCTTTCCAGATCAAAATTTGGTTCCAGAACCGCCGCAGCAAATACAAGAAGCTCATGAAGGTGGTCCAGAGCGGGGGTAGCCCCGGCACCCCCATGGGGAACCCTATAACCCCAGGCTCCCCATTAGGGGGTTCACCCCTTGACGGGGCCTCACCTCTGGGCCAGCCAGTCCCCTCAACAACCCCTCAAAGCGTCTCATCCCCACCACCCTCATCCCACAGCCCTGGGGCTTCTTTACCATACTCATCCATACCCATCACAACCCCAACGCCGTCCCACTCTCAAACTCCCCAACCTAACTCCTCTTCTTCCTCATCCTCGAGGCTGCCTCCCCAGCAGGGCAACTCTTCCACTTCCTCCTCATCTAGCGTCCCCACCGCCCTTCCACACATGGCTGTCCCCCCCGCGGGGAACGCGTCGCAAAACTCCAACGTCCCCACCAACTCCCCAGGAGCTGGTGCCCAGAACAGCGCCGCGTCCCCACACCAGTGGGACATGAAGCCCTCTTACATATACCCCTGGTACAACCCCGACAACCCCAACCTTCTTAGTTAAACCCCCTCCCCAACCCTCCTACATATACCCCTGGTACAACCCCCACAACCCCAACCTCCTCAGTTAAACCCCTCCCCGACCCTCCTACATATACCCCTGGTAATACCCCCACAACCCCAACATTCTCAGTTAAACCCCTCCCCGACCCTCTTACCCCTGGTACAACCCCGTCAACCCCAACCTATTCAGTTAAGCCCCACCTGATCCCCTACCATCCTACTTAACCCATGACTTTCCTACCTGAACCCTTTAACCTATACTTGAATCCTAACCCCAATGAACCCCTAACACTCACCTAACCCCCATTCCACCCCCCTGACCCCTACAAACGCCAGCTTAGTCTCATTCAGCCAATTTTAAAATTGTTGAAGTTGAATGTCTTAACTAATTACCTAATTACCATTGGTTTAATTACCCATCAATTGTTGAATATTATTACCTGAGCCAACACAGATAAGGAACCTTACACACAATGTGTAAACTGACGTCGCTAGTACACACATGTGTTGTTTTAAAACATCGGATGTGTTAATTGTTGATGTTAGTGAAGTTTATTTCAGATGTTGGGATCATGAAGTTTGCTGGGGCAAGTAACATCTTTGAAAGACTCAGATTGCACATCTCTGGGCAGATTTACTTCCATTACGACTATTACGTTCATTACTTACGTAACTCTGATTACTTTCATACCACAGAAAGTTGCAATGAGTTTGCTTCAATTTCTTCGTTTAGTTCGAGTTTGATATTAAGTCCACAGCTCCAGACATTATTTCTATTTCCTTATAATTACTCTTAAAAACTTTTTTGCATGAATTGACAAGTTTTCAATTTAAAACAAGATTTCAAGTTCTAAATTGAAAATTTAAAAATTAATGTCGTATTGTCGTAGTAATTTGAGTTTCAGATGTGTTTTCACTTAACATATCAACATGATTTGTATCATTGAAGATAATAGCTGTTGTAAACATCAACGGACAAATGATAAACAATCAGATTTTAGACATTATTATACTAATTATTTCCAGTGAACACAGTTTACTGACGTATGAATGTGTGATGTTATTTATAACAACCAAGAGCGGTCCAATAACAGGTTATTGTTGACGTAGGTTATAACTGAAGGTTCTATTCGAGGTGCTCATGCTCGGTGCTCGCACTCAATGGAATAAATGCGTCACATTGTCTAAATATCGATGCGCTTTGCCGGAACATGCCACTGTTAGAAAAATTACCGTTAACGGTATTACCGGCATTTCAGTGGCCGGTCGGCACGTGAAAATAAACACCGTGTCGCCGTTTTTATTCTAATTTAACACTAAAAATCCGTAAAACATCTAATAAAAACGGCGAAACAGTTTATTTTAACGTGGCGACCGGCCACTAGAATGCCAGTGGGACCGTTTTTTCACCGTTTTTTCTAACAGTGGCAGAGAACGGACTTGACACTGTAATGTCCTTCAGATGGGTCACAATGACCCACGCAAGGGTAAAATGTGCATTGATATTTGGACAAAGTCTCGCTTGTTTCTTTGAGTGCTATTGAAAACCTTCGTCGTGTTATCGGCGGCCACAGGACGGATGGCCGGCCAAAATGCGCTGATAATTTTTGATTAAGTATAAATGTAATATCGTCGTCGCCTTAGCAATAACGGAGCAACGTTATTATTGAATATTATGTATTGGTTATTTTAAGAAGGGTAATAGGTCATCAGCGTCTCGTATACGGCCGTCGGTAATACGGCGGTAATCTTTTAAATGGTATGCAATACGGTATAGTCTCGGTATACGGTATGCAATGCAGTATAAAATGCGGTATATAATATGGCAATATAAACCAAAGAGAAGTATGGTGGCAAGTGTTGTACATATCCGATATTTATGAGACTGCTAATGAGTACTATACGGGATGGGTACTATACGGGGTGAGTACTATACATACGTGGCGGATAGGTGTTATGGTTTTTAAATAGCTAATGTGAAATAAATATTAAAATCGAATTGAAAAATTATGAACCTGAAGAAATTAAAATCGTGATTTTGTCTGTTAGAATTTCTAATCAATCGTATTCTTGGTGGCGCTTCAAACAAAGTTGACCGCAGCATTTGTGTTTGTGTTAAGTTTTTAATGAAAACGAAACATAATAATTTTAACAATTAAATTGACATGATGACTCAGAGCATTTATTAATCGTTATAAAACGTCAAGGAAAAACTGAAATATTAAACATTTTATAATATCGAAGGAGACAAAAGGAATTGTAAGCGTTTTGTCCAATTTATTTCATCATTATGAAAGAATAGCTTACTGTGCTACTTTGAATTCTTATTAATCTATTACATCTAAGTAAACTAATGAATATTTCTTCAAGTAAATTGTCAAGCTATGCAATACTGACATCGATATTGTCGTTATTATAACACTCGTTGATTTCCAATAAATCATTTCTGAATTATAATGAGTGAATTAAAAATTCAATCTGTGCTCCTTTCAATATAATTTCAATTTAATCACTAATCAACATTAATAGTTATCGTTATTTTTTCTATATATTGATTGTCAAGTTCTGGTTCTTGATTGGATGTGTGTCCAGTTCTACTTAAACATGAGCTGAATTATCGTGGATCGGCCGTTATTTATGGTCTATTATTTTTAATAGGGTTCTTTTACCGCATAAAATACTTTCAACTATCTGAATCGGACACTTTTCATAAGAGTCTTAAATGTGGGACACTTTTAACACAAGCCTCATGTGTGGGATGCTTTCTATACAAGTCTCATGTGTGGGATACTTTCCATACATGTCTCATGTGTGGTATACTTTCTATACAAGAAATGGTGATGGAATTCACTAACGCTACTTCTTGCCTATTACGTCTGACTATTACATCTGACTATTACGTAGCTCAATCGTTTCCCAGCAATAAAAGGAACCAATAAATATTGAATAATTAATGTTTTTAAAGGTAAAAAAATGTCTTGAGGTCTGAAAGACAATTTTTTAAAGAAAAATAATTGAAATTACTTTAAAATATTTTGTTTTCGCTGTGTCGAATTTTCACACGTTCTTTGTAACTTTATTTGTCCGAAAAAGTTTACAATTGAATGTGTGGGTAGGCAGTTCAGTGGTAGTTGATTTCAATAGTAAATAGTTTGATAACTTTGCTCATTAAACTGAAGGCTTGTTAAATGAATAAATATTCGCAGTGCCTCAAAATACATTTTTTGGATCTTTCATCGTGTGTTATTTAACCTATGTTTACAACTTCAATTTGCATTAAAATGTCCTTTCATGAAATAGTATTAGGAAAACATTTATACAAAAGAATTCACTTATAAAGTTTATTATTGAACCATCAAAATAAGTACACACGAACAGTAATTTCTTACATTTTTTAATATATGTAAAAAATAAATTTTCTGCTATAACTACTTTACAAAATTTGTTTTTCAAAACGCGTGTGCAAAAAGTAAGAAGGTATCATACCAATTTCCTTTCTCGGGGTTCATAAAATACTTTTTTTAATATTCAACGAGAAAATCAAACATTGCTGGTAAAATTCCAGAGTCAAATGATTTGCCTCTCAAGCTAAACAAAAAACTGAATGTTAGACCAAAGGTTAATGGTATACTTTGTCTATTTCATTAAAACATATTAAGACAAAAATATCCACACAATTTTCGTATTAAATTCTGCCACAACATTTCCAGCGCAAAAACAAATGCAGAAAATAAAGAAAGTGTACAAAAATCGGTCCAGACACCAGCGGAAATTAGGGGATGAAGCGTGGCTGTTACGAGCGCAAAAACTTGCGGCGATGTCCGTTGCGGAAATTACGGCCGAATTATTGCCGGCCATGTATGGCTGGCCGCTGGCCGCGCATACTACGGCCGTAAATAGTTAATGGTGTGAAGAGAGCTGAAGTTGAACTGACAGCGCACTGTATTATCAATTACAGGCGAGCGAGATAAAGTTGAAAAAAGCAAGAGCGTCGTACAACTTGGGGCGATTCTGAGGTGAGTTGAAGTTTGGGTTGAAGGGAGCAGCTCGAGACTGATGGCTGTCTAATACTTATCATATGAGAACATGATAACATATATAACATAGAATTTAATGATAATTTAACTTATATACCTAAATGTTGTGTGCTCACTTAGTGAATACCACGTTGGTAAAGTAAGCTGATTTAGAGAACGACATGGCGGATATATATCGAGGTGAATATTGAGGGGAAATATAAGTGAAGGATTAACTACTGCATTGCATTCGTACACTAATGTACACATTACATACTTCATCGATACAGTACACAATACAAATTAAACAAAATAAATCATTCTTTCAAAAACTTTATACGTAATGCGTACAGGATATGATACACGCACTCACACACTGCATACAAATTGCTGGGTGTGTGTCCAGTTGACTAAGCAAACATCAACGCTCCCACTTTATTGAACACACAACAACGCTCCCAGTTTATTGAACTCACAACAACGCTCCCAGTTTATTGAACACACAACAACGCTCCCAGTTTATTGAACATACAACAACGCTCCCAGTTTATTGAACATACAACAACGCTCCCAGTTTATTGAACACACAACAACGTTTTCAGTTTATTGACTCGACCTTGTTGGATACCTAGCGTTCCAAAGAACTATATTTGCGAAGCACGTTCATTTTTATTCAATTCATGTTTTCCCAAAGTTGGTAGCTAAAAAATTCATTTCTAGGATTAATAAGCACTTTTTTAGCAGCTGGATACTCAAGAGCCTGACCGTGAACCTTATCTTTCGCCCCTTCATTAATTTTAAATAAAAAATAATTAGATTATTAAATAATAAATAATAATTAATTAATACAATAGCGATTTATTTGCCTAAGTTGCTGTCATAATGTCGGAATTTATTCGTGGAAACATATCGCGGAGCTGAACCAATGTTGCGTGCACTGAACATCACAGGTGTTCACCGCACCAGCAGGGCGGTCTCGCAAGTGTTCTCTCTCAAATTCTCTTCTTATAACGCTTTAAATTTTGCTAAATGTTATAATATCGAAATATCTTCGTTCGTTTTCATACGCTCGCATGTTTTTATTATTTTCAAATAAGCAATGTAGTTCGGCTCTGTCCGGAATCG